GGTAAGATCAGCAACGGTACCTGGCTTAGCCTTAAAAGGACCATGTTATCAAGGTCGTCCTCAGAACCGGCCGAGATGCGAGCTTGGTCCTCAGCGGGCAGGGTGATCAGGGTCTCCAGTTGCACGTCCCCTAAGCTCTGGGGCAGAGGAGGGATGCAAAGCCTCGTCGAACGACCTCCGGTCGCCACCTCGTAGGTCATAGCGGGGGGCGAAGGAGGTCGCTCCGAGGCGACACCCAGTGACGACCCAGCGAGGTCGCCATCTGGCCTCACAGAGTGGGGGGGAGAATGACCAGTCACTGTACCCGTTTCCAGGGTAGCATCATCCTGGTCCTCCACCACAATTACAGCCGGCTCCTGGGAAGGACCCTCCTCGTGGTGGGACGAAGAGCGTTTGCCCTGGCCCTTCGTCTCTCTCTTCCTCTTCCTCCCTGCAGTGAAGCGACTGAGCAGGAGTTCGCTGTCCATCTCTTCACATGAATCTTGTAGTTCCACTGGAAACAAAGGAAATGGTCAGCCTCGGAAAAGGATAAACTAAACATATGGGTGAAAAGAAAAGGTCAATTACCAAAAGGACCACAGTCAAGACCTTCCTCAAGAATGTCCTTCAACTGGTCAGGCTGACGCCCCCCGGGGGTGTCCCTCAGTAGGTCGGGTTGGTGGCGAAGCTCATCCTGAACAAACTCAAACCCCAACCCGGCAAGGGTTTCCTCTGTCACCACCTCCTTGATGTTCATAACTCCCTTATTGCAGAGTTGGCGAGTAATGGATAGGAGGGTGGCATCAGGTGGGGGGCATGGGATGCGGCGAAAGGAAGGGCGCCCTGAACCCGTGAAAGGAGATTCGGGCCCCGTCGAAACGAAGACAAAGAAAGGCTTCCAGTCTTTGGTTGAGCCCTTCTTGTCACTCGCAAAGAGTTTACTGGATCTCTGGGAAAGGCTGGCATAGGACGCCCAATCCTTATGGCCCTTGGTCAGTTTGAAGGTGAATATGAAATGGTCCAAGGTCGGTTTCACCCCCACAGCCTTGCATCGGACCAAGTAACCGGCGATGTACCGGTGAGAATTGGGGACCAGTTGGCACGGAAGAAGGTCCACCTCGTTGAGGTATTCGACCAACAACGGGTGGAGTGGAAAGCGCAGCCCCTTCTTCAAAGACGCCAGATGGACCGTGAAGAACCCCGAGGGTGCGTCTAGAGCAGTTTGAGTACTGGTAGGTCTCATGACCTCAATGGAGGGGCCAACCATGTCAGTAGCATCGGCGAACCCCCGGTC